ATATGGAGGCTGCATTCTAGACAGGGAATCCACAGATGACCAGCAAAAGCAATAACTGTGTACTGAAAGTATATGAAATAAGCAGGGAGCTGGTGCTTGTGGGGGGGCAAGAATCATATGGAGGTGTGTTGTAATTGAGATATTGTGGGAGCTTTGCACTCTTTCCTCTTCTGTTGAGGATTAATCTAAAATCCAGGCAGATTTTACACAGTACCACAGTGTGGTTTTGTGAATTTGTAAAATATATAGATTTTGCAACTATATTTTATCTTTTGTTATCTTATTTTGAAAGATATGTGACATGTGACAGTGACATGTTTTTTTTTTTATGTTTCCCTAACAACAATGCACATTTCAATGCATGAGATTTGATAGATTTTGATAGATTGAAACCCTTCAGAAAAGGTCAAACTGTCAAATGTCTTTTAATAATGGTGTCTTTTTAAAAAATGTATTATTATAATTATTTTTTACAACCTTAATAGCAGTGCAGATGGAAATATCTCAGACAGTTTGCTGACGCAGGTAAAGCTGGTCTGACATGATTTGTGCTGAGTGTCTGTGTCTGTGTTGTGTCCAAACTCTCCAGCTCAGAGCAGTCGCAGACAGCCTTGACACTGAGCGAAGAACAGAACCAAGCCTATAGGGGACACAGGCATGACAGCTTAAGGCAGGTTTAGCTACAAATTCCCACATTTCTGCTGTCAGAAAATCACCAGGTAGAGGAGAAATGATCATTTACATATTTATTGCTGCAGGGTTTATACTTTCATAGTGATTGGCTGTGGATCTGGCTGGCGGTATCCTGCAGATGACCTTTTTTAACTCTATACTCACCAGAACATTCATAATGTTAGTAATACAACTGAGATACAATAATAAAAAATATACTAATACTAGTTTTGTGTGTGTATATATAATTTATGTATTTTATTTTTTTATAATTGTATCTCAGTTCTATTACTAACATGTATCATATTTAGTGTTTAGTTTTGTGGTCCTAGACAAGACACCTTTGTCTAGTATGACTCTGTGCATGTGTAATTGTTGGTTGGAGGCCCGAGGCAGCCTTGTGGACTGCCTTCCGTCAGTCTACCCCAGGGCAGCTGTGGCTCCAGTAGTAGTTTTCCACTACCAAGTGGAGAGTGAATGAATAATGCACAAAATTGTAAAGCAGCTTTGACCGTTTGGAAAAGTTCTACATTAATTTGTTATTATAATTTTTCCATTTGAATACTGATAAGGGATACTGTTGGATAATTGATATTGGTGTGTGAATTCTTAAAATAAGGAAGTATTCAAGGCAAATAAACATTTGCTCAGAAACTGCAAAGAACACACTGCAAGATTTATTCTCGAGTGCTTTTAATTGTTGGTTTGAGGGCACAGTCCCAACATTCTGCCACCTCGATCAGATCAGAGCACAAAGCTGGTGACATTTTCTGGATGTTTTCAGGTTCTCACTCTTAAACACTTCTTCCAATCCATTTGACTCTCTAATCCACCGGGAAAGAGCTCTTTTCTCCACTCCATTGCAGTCCTCTCCCTGCTTCCCTTTCATTCTGTCCTCAGACTTCACTCCATGCATGTATGAGTTTCTGCAAAGTTGGCTAACTGGATTTTCAGCGCCAAACGTGCTGCACACATTCAAAATACTAGTGACAGAACAACTATGGCAAATAGAAATACAGAAAGGGAGTAAATAATGTTCACCACTATTCACCACACCATTTCAAGCATCGTTGCTATAGTGATTAAATTACATTGATAATAATCTCTAAAAATTAACATTTGTTAGCACAGCGCAAATGCAAAGTGACAGGTTTTTTTTTGGTAAAACTGCATTGGTAAGAAAAAATACCACAAATACTTTTATAAAAATCATTAATAGCTCTCTACATCAGCGTATGCATTTTGCCATTGCCATGCTCAAATTAAAGTATACATGTGGTCAAGTGGATTTCCTATATCTCGATCGTCTTGACATAAATGATTTAATCTGCTAAACACATTCTTCAAAACATATATGGAACATGAAGATACGTTTCTCCTTCAGCTTCTTTGTTGATTTTTTTTTTCTCTCCTTCCCCATGGGTTTCTACAGAGGGAGTGGGGAGAAAGAAACTTAATCCCTCTATTGAACAAGAGGTGGACTTTTCAGGGGGGCCTATTCCATTTTACCCCTTGTCAAAAAAAAAACTACTCTGCATCTCTCTTCTCTTACAAAGCCTGCAATTAGTTGTCCTAAATAACATACATTATAACATTTTAGAGCATAATGTCTGGTTGAAGTAATTTTTCACTGAATAGTAATTAGTATCAGACATTGACATTGATGAATGAAATATGCTAACACAACAATCTAAAATGTTCCCCACAAATCATGGGTAGGGAAAATTTCTGTAGGTTATTTGTTATTTTAGTAGATAGGAAGACATTTTTTTAAACTCTATACAGAACATTTTCAACATGTTTATAACCAGAATATCTGACTCTGACCTCAGTACTCCAGTGTTAATCTACTGAATTCAATAAAATGACCTTTTTCTTGTATTTATTGAAGAAGGGTGTGGAATAATTATTGACAATGGTAGCTAACAGAAAATCTCATAGTAAAGGCAGCTTGTATTTCTTTTATTCTTTTCTGAATTTTGAACAAAAAAGCTGCAAATTGCGTGACTGCTATGCTCCTCCTCTCTCTGCAGGAGGTTGAGCTAAGCCACATTATAATAATATTCGCTTTGTGATGGTTGTTGAGGGCAATTGCCATTGATTGACAGAATAATTGTACACCACCAATACACAGCTGCTCAAACACATGTTTCAAAAAGCCATAAGTGAAATGTGCAACAACATAACCACATGTATCCAAAAAGAACAACCTAAAAGGGCTCAAACACAAAGACGTCACACACTGTAAGGAGAAACAAGAAGAAAGGCTCCATCCTGGCGGCACCGGACACTCTCATGTAAAACTACCACTGCTCCTCAGCTAAGTGGAGCCCCAGGCCGCAGTCAGGGCCACTACCGCTGAGATACCAGCAAGCAGCACTTTATCTTAGAACTTTAACTTTATCTTATGGATTAGAAGACAGTGGAATTCAACAGTAGGTTTTATTGCTGACAGCATGAAAGATTTACAAATAAGTGCAGTTAGACCATTTTTACTTCAGCCAGATCTGACTATGTAATTGTATCACTTTACATCACTGATTGTTAGATTGCTTAATTTATTCATTCATTAAAAGTATACTGAAATTGTGTGAACAGTAACAAAATACAGGTGTACATTCAGCTTTTTCATTATTGATTGGTATTTTATATATATACATGTATTATAAATACATTTTGTTAAATATTCCACTCACTGAATCTTTGTGTAGCATGGCATTCATTTTGAATTCAACTGCTTTTTAATATCTTACATTTAAAATTTTAGTTAAATCCCCCTAGTCCCTTTTTAAATACTATGAATCACTCTGGTTAAATATTATTACTTCTCATGAATATTTTGGTGGCTTTATGTGCACTATTTCTTCCAGCCAATCATATCACATGTGGCTTTGTGCCTTTCCGTGTCTGTGACAGATTAAAGTTTGCGTGCAAACATACAAGAGAAATCACCCAGATGTAAATGATTGAAGTACAGTAAGTGGCTTGGTCCTGTGTGTAGGCTTGGGCTCACTGTACGTGTGTATGGATGCACTGCTGAAAACTATGTCACAGCTCGCACGCACCAGTGCACCCATTTACTGGTGTAGCATCGCCAATGTGTGGATCTGGAGCACCGCAATTGAGAACGATCAAAACATACTCGACTGTACTCAAAATATGGACATAAAACACACATAAAAGCACTGAGGCATGCACCTCTGTACAGATGTATTCAGAGTTTTCTAAAGAGATAGCCATTGTAGTGAGTAATCACTCCAAGTGCCCTCTTTTTACATGTGATCATTGAACAGTGATGCTATGAGTGTTTTGTTTTATAACATTATCCGACAGTTCTGCTGTGATTACTCTATTTCTGGTGAAAGATTTTTTGACCATTTTGGGTTTCACTAAATATTTTCACATTTTAATTACCTCACACACCTGAACATTTGCACTGTCTTTGCAGTCATTCAGTGTTGCCAGTGCATATTATTGATGTTTGTCCAAGTCCCAAGACCATACCATTAACACAATAAAGCGTGACCTTGAAAATTACTGGGCTTTTACTTTCATAATCATCATTGTTCAAAACATTGAAACCCCAAAATACAAGTATTTGGACTTCTCTTATTTAACTGCTCTATGTTACATGGTCAGAACTGAAGAAGAATGGACATTTGTGCTTGATAGAAACGTGATCATCTTCTGCCTGCTGATGCCTCTGACTCTTTAACCTTTCTCTGCTCCTGTGGGAGCTGAATGTATATTAGCCCGCTGTCTGTTTGCTCAGTGTGTTAGCACATGGCTGTGACTGCAGCCTGTCTGTGCAGCACCCCACTTCAAAAGCCTGTTTGGTGATATGATTAGAGCTATACATATTTCATGAGCTTCTACACAGATATATGTATCTTTCAGCAGTGAACACATTCCATCTTCATCCTCTTTGATGCCTATTTCAGGTTTAATATGAGACACTCAGTAGTTCAGTCCACTTGTTTTCATAGCTTGTTTTTGCATTAGTGCAAACTTCATAGACTTAAAAACAATTTTGTTCAAGAACCATGTGCAAATTGTTTGTATTATAGAAAGTTAGGGTGAGCAATACAGCAAAAAAAAAATCTTGGAGCTAGATTACAATTTCTATATAATCACAATTCATAAACAGTGTATTTTTCTATTGCTTTTAAGATCATCTACTTCTGAAAGTTCACATTTCACTGTTATTAGTTATATTTAGCTGTCATTTACTCAGAGTCTTACTTAGGACAACAAAATTGTGAATCACCTTATTGTATTCTTGTCATTGTTTTTTTGGGTGTATAATTGTTTTTGTTCCTCTCTTGTAGCCGTTCCATCCTTTAGTAAACCTGGTGTGCAGCTCTGAGCTGAGGATGTTCCTGTGTGCCCTGTATGCTCCGGTGTGCACAGAGTATGGCAGAGTGTCTCTGCCCTGTCAAGGCATCTGCCAGCGCGCCAAAGATGAGTGCAGCAAACTCATGGAGATATTCGGACTGACCTGGCCAGAAGACATGGATTGTAGCAGGTGTGTTTGGCATACCCTTTAGTCAGCAGAAGCTGAGGTGAAATGGTCATTCAAAAGCATTCTAAACATAATGAAAAATCTCATAACTGCAACTATTTTGGTAATGTTATGCCCTGCCAAGGTCAAGTATAAAAACTATTGAATTTATTTCTAGTTTGGCTGGTATTTTGTGTCCTGCTCCTATGTTTACATCTATATTTGTCAGAAAATTGTACTCTCTAATCATTTATCTCTAGTGCATAGCAGACTTTTTGAGTACAAAGTTTTTCTGTCTTTCTGTTGTGTTCAGGTTTCCAGATTGTGATGAGTCTTACCCCCGCCCAGAGGACTTGCAGAGCAGCCCTGAGCCCACAGACCAGTCGTCTTTGACAGTGCAGAGGGACTATGGCTTCTGGTGCCCCAGAGAGCTGAAGATCGACCCTGAGCTGGGCTACTCCTTCATGGGCAGGAAAGACTGTTCTCCCCCTTGTCCTTCAATGTATTTCAACCTGAAAGAGCTGACATTTATGCGCTACTTCATCGGGGTCATATCCATCCTCTGCCTGTCTGCAACTCTCTTCACTTTTTTGACATTTCTCATTGATGTTACAAGGTTTGAGCCCCCTTATGATCATTTTAGAATATATTACATTAGAAATATTGTCTAAAAATTAAAGGCAGTGTGTTCTGTTTATCTATAGGTTTAGATATCCAGAGCGACCAATCATCTTCTATGCTGTGTGTTATGTCATGGTATCCCTGGTTTTCTTCCTTGGTTTTCTTTTGGAGGAGCGGGTGGCATGTAATGCAGCCAGCCCTGGCCACTTCAAAGCTGCAACCATCACCCAGGGCTCACACAACAAGGTAACCTGGGGCTTTAATGAGTTCATAGAGCCTAACCCATAAAGTTTGAAAATATTGGATACTATCGTCTCTTCCTCAGGTGTGCACACTGTTCTTCATGGTGCTGTATTTCTTCACCATGGCGGGCTCTGTGTGGTGGGTCATACTGACAATCACTTGGTTCCTGGCTGCTGTTCCTAAATGGGGCAGCGAGGCCATAGAGAAGAAAGCGCTCCTCTTTCATGCGGTGGCCTGGGGCCTCCCAGGGGCCCTGACCGTCACCCTGTTGGCCCTCAACAAAATTGAGGGAGATGGGATCAGTGGAGTGTGTTTCATAGGACTGTATGACATAGACACCCTGAGGTGGTTTGTTCTGGCACCGCTCTGCTTCAATGTGGCGGTGAGTACAGTGGGATAAAGGAGTGAGTGGGTACATGAAAGATAGATAGATATGTATGTGAGGGGATAAAACTACATGTACCGGATTTGCCCAGAAGTATTTTAGTAGTCTTTGAGCTTACAATCTCTTCTTATAACTGATTTCTCATTTCACATTTCTCTTGCTAAATCCTATTCTCTCTGTTCAGGTGGGTGTGGCCCTGCTCTTAGTGGGCATTGTGGCTCTAAACCGCGTCCGGATGGAGATCCCTCTGGAGAAGGAGAACCAAACCAAATTGGTCAAATTTATGATCCGCATGGGCATCTTTTCTGTGCTCTACCTGGTACCCTTAGTCACTGTGATATGCTGCTATTTTTATGAGCACACCTATCGAATCCTTTGGGAAACAACCTGGATGGAGGAGAACTGCAGATTCTACCACATCCCCTGCCCATATAAGGTATTCACACCAATAATGTAATCATGTTTTGGCTCTAGGCACAAATATCAGCATTCTCATTTAAATTTAACTGCTTTTATGAACACTCTGCAAATTTCATATTTCAACAATGAATAATTGAAGAGGAGAGAAGACCCATGGGATAGCTGTTCAAGGCTATTTTATGTCTAGAAACAGATGGGTTCTGTCATTTCTGCTGGACACACGCTGACAAATATCTACCATTCATCACTACCTTATGCCTCAGGCATCCTCCAAAAGCATATTTGTCTTTTTAAAGCCATTTAGGGTCATAGGGTCCTATTTTAATACATTACTCTCTAACAAACACTTTGTTTTTTTGGATAAGTAACCCCTCTACTTGTCATACATAGCAAATGTAGTATAAATGTGAATTTAAACTTCAAAAAGTCCTTTTACTTTTGTTGAATATTGTTGACTTTATATATATTTCTTATCCAGATATTGGAATTTTAACAGTAGGCCTTCATTTGGCAAAAGTGCAGACACAATATAAAAATGTATAATTCATGTATATCTTTGCCAAACTGTAACCAGAACAGGGCTGATGGGCTAACAAACAACATAACCCTGTAGCTTTAAAATCTCATACATTACATTCGGACAAAGTCTTGAATAATGAAACAGATGGCGTTGCACATCATTACCTCAGTTAATCTTCCTGTAGAAAGATAAAATACAGTACCTCAGCAGTACTATTTACCCTTGTGTGTCTGGCTTTTCCTGTTCTCAGAGCCTCCTCACTCTCTGCTTTGGACTTGCTCGGTCATGCACTGCTGCTTGGCGTCTATGAGCCTTTTGTGGGAGTTATTATGAAGAGTAGAGGGGGTGTGCTATTCTATACAGCCCATCTCTAAATTATTAACTAAAATAAACCTGCTCGGTCCAGACACACACAAGCATACACAGCTCTCCCAGTTAAAATGGAAGCACTTTAAAGGGACGCTATGTAACTTTTCTAGTAGAGGATCCGCCACCATCTTGTCTCTATGGAGATGTTATTACTTTGCTTGGAATGTTCTACAGTGTAGCATTAAACGTGTCTCCATGGAGACAAGCGGATAACAACACAAGGCCAAATTACAGATCAGATCTGTGAATAGGCAAATCTTCTTACTTTTGAGCAATAAAAACACCTGTAATCCAATAAATGCAGACTCGGGTAAAGTGAAATAACATCTACATGGAAACATGCGAGTGGCATACCCTCCACCAAAAATGTTACATAATGCACCTTTAAGACTTTTTGTAATGCATTAGCTTTAACAATCATCAAGTAGATACCATGGCAATTATCAGAGCTTTTAGTGCGCTGTTGCTGCTCATTTCTGTGTTTTGCTGTTGGTATCACATTTTTAGGAGTGATGAAAGCACCCCATTGGTTTCACTGATGAACCTAGAGACTGAGGCAGTATTTGTTTGTGTTTTTCCTGATAATGAGATCAGAGTGCTGTCAGAGGTGTGAGTGACAGTAGTCTTGGACAGGACTGGGGCAGGTGCAGCCACTTGTGTTACTGGTGTGCGTGTGTAGACCTTCGTAAAGACAGACCCCCTAAGTCCAGTGGTAGCTTTGGAATTTCATTATTGCGCCATGTTATATGATCTTTGCCCCTGAGGGATGCGCTTGTTAAGAGCAGCAACTTCATGCATTTTAATTAAATACTTGGACAGATATGTGACATTTTTGGAGGTAATTTACATATTTCTAACCTAGGCTGGGAAAAGAGATGCTGAGCAAAAAATCAGAGAAAGTTTGACGTTGGTGAATCAGCATAAACGCATTTTTACTGTAATTTAGCCCTGCAGTATTTTGGCAAATAATAGGCCTAGTAGTTCAATTTTTGCAATTCCTTGTAATTAACAGTGAACAATGGAGCAGAAATGCTATTGTATGATATAATAAACATCTTGCTTTTTCAATAAAGGCATTTTGCACAAACGCCTGCTCCCTCTGGTGGTGAATGGGCCACACTACATTAGCATAAACGTCTTATTTCTTTTCAAATGTTTACTCAATTTACAACAAATAACATTAACCACAATTTTGTTGGAAGCAGCAACTGTGTAAATAATTGTATTAACTATTTCTTCTAGTCATACATCTGTTTATATTGTCTCCAGGTGGAACAGACCAGTCATCCATCTATGGTTTTGTTCCTTGTTAAATATCTGATGATGCTGGTGGTTGGCATTCCCTCAGTTTTCTGGGTTGGAAGTAAGAAGACCTGTTATGAATGGGCCAATTTTCTACAAGGACGCAGACGCAAAGAGTAAGAACTCACATCAAATCCTTGAGTGTCTAATGTGCTTATGAGTTGTTAACATGTGTGATGATTGTGTTCTTTGTAGCAGTGGTGTAAATGAGTCTCGTCAGGTTCTTCAAGAGCAGCCGGACTTCACCCAGTCTTTATTGCGTGAACCAAATACACCTGTTGTCCGCAAGTCAAGAGGAACATCCACACAGGTAGCACAGGAGGACTATGTTATATATATATTTCAAAATTAAAAACTGCTACAAACCTGGGTTGGGATGGTTGGCATAAATACCAATCAACTCAACTTGTGAAGGACCTACCTTACAGTCAAAATACAATTTTCTGTATTCTAGTTAAACAAATGACAATATATATATCTCCGTCTTTGCTGTTGGTGGGTATCAGATTGGTCAAAAATAGGGACAATTAGGACATTTCTTGCATACAACTGGGACAAAATACTGGCTTTGGATAATTCTGCTGGAACAGCACTAGACACAGTGCTCAAAACTGGAACTGTAAATAGTGACATCTAGTCACCCTAGACAGGTTAGGCTACTCATTTCGCTAAAACATTGCAATCATAATTGTATTTAATACTTTATTAAGAATCTTAAAAATGTTTTCTCTTTTTAAATAATTTATAATTGTACTTTCTGGTTGGACATGTGCACCACATGTTTAGAGATGATTCCATAACTATTGTCTAGAATCCATTGTGTAACATTTACACAATAGTTATGATCTGACCAATAAAAAATGTATGACAATACCTTAACCTAGTGTGTTAAATGAATAGTAAAACACTTAGAAAATCATGTTCCTTGTGTGTAAATTGTGACATACCAGGCATGTTCTAAAAGGCATTTCCTTTTAGAACACAGCACTAACCCTGTCTTAGCCAAAACTCTGATAAATCACAAGTTATATCCCATGAAATGCAGTAATAATTAGAAAAACATGAAAACCTGTCATACACATTCCAACATGAATAATAATTCATTTAAATCTTTATAATTCATAATATTTTGTTGTCTTTAGGGGACATCCACTCATGCATCCTCTACAAACTTGGCTGTTATTGATGACCTGGACAAACCACAAAGGACACACCACGGACACCCCTCATCCACCAGGAGCAGAGGCAGCAGTGTCCACAGCAAAGCCAGTTACCATGGCAGCCAGAGACGCATGCAAGATGACAGGTACAGTAACCACACCATCAGCTGTATGTTTCCACTGCACTATGTTCCCATGTTTGCTGGGTCGAAGGACAGTGGTTAATGTTTGAGCCTTGTTTTGGTTTATGGGTAGTGGGGTGAGTGTGAGGGTTGTGAATTTACTTTCTTCTTTCTTGTCCATGCTTTATTGGGCTTATCAATTAAGGTGTAGTAATTATAAAGTGTCACCCATCAATCAAAGGAAAATGTTTTATAGTAATCTCAAGATTTTAACTTTTTTCCACTATTCACAGGACTGATTCAGTGACTCCTCATGCTACAGACGAGCAGAGTTTACGCAGTGCTGTACCGCCAACTGACCAGCCAGTGTCTGCTCACAGCAGCCTGCATCAGATTGACAACTACTCCAAACAAGGAAGCCAACGAGACACCCCTGAAGCCTCAAATACTGTGATCACCCCTGGGACCACCACACTTGACCCTCCAGCACCAGACAATGATGTAACCAGTGCCTGAACACTGCTTTAACAGTTGGTTATAATAATCAAGGAGCTGTGTATGTTTCCTTTCATCACTGATGGCACTTAAGACTGAAGTGTTCATTGCACTGCACTAAATACTTTTATTAACTTCTGCGGATGGAAAAACTTAGGAAAGGGGGGAGGGACATTGAGTCGAAGGGATTTGGTCAAGAACAAGAAGTTGGTACAACGATGAACTGAAGTCATATGTTTACTTTTCGATCTGGGATTTTCAAGGACTGGAAAATACTGGAGAAGTCCTTTCTTACAGGGTATACAAAATACATGCCTTTGTTACAATCAACATTTTTGTTACTTTTAAAGACAGAACATATATCTTGCAGTTTATTCCCTTAATTTTCACCAAACTTCAACTATCAGTAGTTTTATCTTGCACTGTATGAGTGACAAATATGGGCCTATTACGGTGGACCTTTTAGTTAACAATTTTAAGCTGTGAAGCCTATGAGAGTGGGGCTGTAATGCTCATTGTACAAAACTCCTAGTGTAAAGAGAAGACAGGCCTACAGTTGGAAATCACAATGAAATGTGCATGTACTTAGAATGCGTGGTTTAGTTCAGTTTGTCAATAAGAACTCTTCAACACTAGCTCCAATCCTAAAACAAAACAGGCAGCTTGAGGAGAAAGGCATTGTTCAATACCACATAAAACTCTCTTACTGACATCAGTATTGTTTTATAAAGCAGTTTTTCTCTCTTGATGCCTATCTGCACACTGAAGAACCTTTAATATCTATATTAAAGGGCTACTTATTAAAGACTAATGGTGGTATCCTCAACAGTGCACTTGCTGTGACAATGTTATTTCTGTTGATTTGGTTATTATTAACAGTGACTGTGAAGCCTCCATGTTGTGATTCGTTCACAGTTCTCATAGTTTCTTTCTCTTGTCTTTGGTGAAATGTTAAAGACTCTATGGACCTACCTCACCTGTACTCACAGATCTGCACACAGGAAACAGGGTGTTTTATACAATAAAACTAAACTAAACGTGACTAACCTTTATATCAACAGTAAATTGTACAATTTAGATACTTATCAGATTACCTCTGATAATCTTAATCTGTTTATCTTTCCACTTGCTGTCACTTATGTCATTGAGGCCAACTGTTTAAATGACACAGTGTGCTTCACACCCTTCTGCCTTCAGCGTCCCAAACTGCCTGCCATTTATCTCATTTCTCTTTTGGACCTATAACAATCATGTTTTACCATCTAAACTTACTGGTGTGCAGCACAACTTTGTACAAAACTTTACAATGACATTTTTAATGAATGCTCATTTTTATGTATTGACCCATTACAAAATGTCCTAGAAAAGCTGTACTTTTGCTGATGTTTTCTGTTTAGCAACTTTGTAATGAACTGCATTTGTGACATTTACATTGGTGGTATAATTTTGTGATTTTTTTTTTTTTTTAATTGTACATGCCTTTTAACTTATTTGCAGTTTTAAACTGTCTCAACTACTTTTATATCAATTCTAATAAATTTGAAAGAAAATACCATTGTTGATAATTTACCCCAAGTTCTTAAATACAGAGAGAGATCATTCAGGATCTGCCAGGCAAATATTAGCAATGGTAATCTTAACAAATCGTATAAATGTGAAATTGTTATTCTCAGTTTTATAAAAAAGAATTATCTACAAATATATTTCAGATCTTTCTCTTTTGCGTCGTACAATTGCAGCCACGTCCTGCTTGAGTTTAGAAACACACTCCTCTAGCTGCTCTGAGAAGTCTCTCAGCAGGCGACCTTGTTCATCCACAAAGAAGCGCAGCCCCAACAAGTCTGACTCCTCCTACATGCAACATCAAAGTGATATTACCTTTTATTACCAGTGATATTATCTTTGTGCCTAATACGTACACTGGGCCTGTGTCTGCGCAGACGCTGTAGCTGAGCACGCACTGATGTCATACTGTGGTAGAAAACCTTCAGAGCTCGAGCAAACTCTGCATCACAACTGGGCCGCACCAAACGACCACCTGCAACCAGCACATACAAGAGGTGACTCTCTTAGTGATTTGTGTAATGTCTGCACATCTGTTTAAAAAGAAAAAAATATTACCATTCCTGGCAGTGAGTTGTTCCCTCAAATTCAGATTTTCCTTTTTCAATAAAGAATTCAAACTCCTCATTTCCTCTAAGTCTCTCTGAAGAACTCTGAAGGAACTGCTCAGCTCACAATCCAAAGACTGACTCACAAATATCGAAAGCCCATCAGTGGAAATGATCCGCTGAAATATTGAATTAACTTCTCATAATAAACTTACTGCAGAATCAGCAGGGCCTGGGTTATCAATAATGAAGATACCATCTGATGTCATTCTCATCTCATCCAAAGAAGATGTAAGTTCTGCACACCCATCTGAAACAAAGTTGTTTTTTTTATTATTAATAAAATATATAACAAATTGTAATTGATTGCCATTCAACTTATGGCAGGGATGAATGCACCCTGAAGGCCCCAGAGCTCCAGGACCACAGCACTGCTCTGCAGATACTCCAACAGACTCTGAGACGTCTGCAGTGAAGTGAAGTGCACTCGGTGATCCAACAGAGGATTAACATTGTGCCATACAGCCGGAGTGTACAAAGGATGGGAGCAGTCGAACAATTTGAAACTAGAAAGTTATATGAAAAAAACAATTATCTTTATAATCCATTACATGGTATTAAGTATGTGCTTATGTGCAGCTTACCCTACTTGTACGCCTCTGTTGTGGACCTCTCTTATCCAACGCAGGCCACAGCACTGCTCCAGCACCAGCTGAAAGTCCAGGCGGCGTCCCAGTAGCTCTGATGGGTCAATCAGGATGTCATCCTCACTCAGGGGGCTGATGGAGCACATTGGACACTCTTAGAAAGACTTCACTATATGCTTGTGTGTGTTAGAAACATACAGTCCTGTAGAGGCGCAAGGAACCAACTGTGCTTGTAGGATGGCCTCCTCTGTTCCTTCAGACCCTAAAACCTGCACGGCCACAAGGTCTTTAGTCCAGATAAATATTCATTTACAATGTACATTACTATGTTCACATCATGTTCATTTTAAACACAGACCTCTAGTTGCTCTTCTAATGGGATGCGAAAAGCCAGAGTTTGGAGCCATAGATGAGCAGTGCCCAGGAGCAGTGGCTCCACTGGATCCCAAAATGGGTCTTGGTCTCTGGCAAAAGTGGTTGAAGAAAAACTTATAGATCTCTAAGGACACCATGTGCGTGGACAGGTAAGGAAATAGAACAAACAATTTTAACCAAAAATAATTTTAATCACAGCAAAATAGCGTAGAGACCAAGAACTGTATAATATACATTTGCTTCCTTCTGTACTGTCTGATGTTGCTGATACATTTCTTCCATTAGGTATTTACGGTTTATGAACTTTGCCTTAGACCACATCCATACCTTGAGAGAAGGGAAAAACTATGTTAAAAATATAAAAAGTGAAGATTTGTAGTTTAATATTTATTGTAATACAAATGATTGTAATACCAGTTTGTTTCCCAAAGTAGTGACTCTTACAACAATATCTTTCTTCAGATCGTGGCCTTTTGAATCAGACAAAGCCAGGTTCTTGATCTCCAGTTTAAACTCTACATCCTACTGACAAATGTGACATATTAAAAAAACAACAGATCATCCAAATAAATGACAGAAGTGTCATCAGGTGAACCTTGTGGAGCTCCTGGCTCATCTGGTTGGCCTCCGTCACCATAGGCATCAATTTAATGTAATCATAGAAGACCGCTAGCAGGCTTGGGTCAGTTTGGTTTGACCCAGGGCTAGACTCACCTACAAATATTCAAGGTAGAGTCATTAAAAGATACCAAACAATGGCTTGTCCACATGAAGCTCACTAACCAATGTGGATGCCTTCAGCTGTAGCCAACTCCGCCTGGAAATAGTCGTAGTCATAGCTGTTCCAGTCGTCCCCTCCACGCTCCGAGGGGAACCCAATAAAAAGGTAAGTACAGTTAGAGCCCAGAATTAAACGGTCCTGAAGGGGGGAAAAAACTGTCAAATTGTATCATACCAAAGTTTGACAGTGTTGTAAAACTAACCAGATGTTGCAGCACAGTCATCTGACAGATTGTTTTACCATTTACAATCACTTTCGCGCCTGCCACCGGTGTCAATGTGACACGACGCTGCTCGTTTCTGAAAACTGCATGATGCTCTTGTATTCTGAACAATTGAAAAAAAAAGTGATAATGTACATTCTTAAGTACTTTCATCTACTACAAACATACCCTAGTCCTTTGATAGAGATGTACTTTGGGGAGGACTCACTGCAGCCCACATCCCATTCACCTAGAACATATTAAGAGCTGATCTGAGTCAAATTCCCTATGTATACACATGTTTTGCTTCACTTCAGTCATCAAAGATTTAACATCAGTTTTAAGTGTGGTATTGTTACACAGACTCACCTTCTTGTATAAATAGTTTAACCACACCAGACAGCTGGGCGTCCTCATTTATGTTAAGTATGTAGGGGTGCATCTGCATCATCCTCCTCTCCTACAACACAGCACCAGATGTCAAAGGAGGCACAAACTATCTGTCTAGCTATGTATCTATCTGTAGTGCATGTATGTGAGTGAGTGTGTGCACCTTTGTGATGTTCGCATACTGCTCTTCTAAGTCCTTGAGCGCCTCCTGGAGGTGCTGTTCCCACAGTGTCTGGATGGCCTTGATCTGCAGCTCATTGTGGGTGAGCAGCTGTCGAAGCTCCTCTGAAGCATATTTGTCTGTTATTGATTACTGTATTTGAATGTTCATTGATTGTGTGTTGCGGTCTTACTGGTCTCATCACTGGCCCTGTACCCCTCCTGTCCCAGTCGGCTCAATCTCTGTAGAAGTCTGGCATTCTCGGCCTTCAGCTCTTTCACCAGTCGCTCAGTGGGACTCTCATTCACAACAGCTCGATTTTGAATGCGCTTGGCCCTGAACAGGAAATGGAATTTATTTTGTGGATCAATAAAAAGTGGAAATTGTATTGCATCAGCACATTTATTAGTTTGTCATGACCATATTTATCATCCTATAAAATAAACAAATAAAAAATAAAAATAGTACAATATTATTAGAGGGTCTACTAAAATTGTGAGATCTTTTCTCATATAGTTCATTATATAGAATTTTGCCATTTACTAAACTTACCTTTCAGCATAACGCAGGGTTGAGAGTGATTCTTCATAGCAAATATCAGCAGGACTAAGAGTAGCAATCTGCAATATTCAGTTTGGAAGAATTTAGAATTTTTACCATTTCATTTCATCACTTTAAACAGTGCTGTAAACAAGAGAAAAGAAAGTTACCATAACAGTACGACTATTGCCTCCTAGAGCTGACTGCAGAAGCTTGGTGAGAATAGACTCTCTGTAAGGGATGTGGACCACCTTTTTACCCACCGCCACATCTGCGAGAGCGCTGTAAGATACATTGGTGGAAAATAACAAATTACAAATATTTGCATTACTGTAATTTAATAAATATATAAACATGTGCTTGTCCTTTTAATTGAGTGTAACTGTAGCCATGAAATTAACTACTGAGCACAGTACAAGTCAAAAAAACTTCCCAACCCACTGCTGTGTCTTCTCCTGCTCTGGCTAGACCTCAGAGAATAAGCAGGTTGGGTAAAAACAATTTCATTCAGTTTTAAACTGTTTTTAGAATTATAAGTTACTATGAGAAAACTGTGCATTCCATTTTTTGTTCTCACTCAAAACATCTGCAGCTGTTAAAATAATGGTTGGAAACTTGGTGACTTAAATAACTAATGCAGAGTGTTGACCTGATGACGTTGCCCAGAGTGGTGAGGCTCAGGTTGATGGCCAGGCCCTCTTTGAGTCTGTCTGCCTCAGAGCCAGATGACCGCTGCCGCTCACTGCCAGCCAGATCCACCAGGTTTATATTGGACTGCTTTGTGGTGCTTTCTTTTAAAAAGATCTAAAAAAAAATATACAAAAATATTTAAAATCTAAGGACAGTTTACTCCAAGCTTCAAGTTAAGTTATTTCAAATGCTACAGCAGATCAGTTATTGTACCTGTTTTAGCTGTAGACTAATGAGCATGTGAGAGCGGCTGCTGTTTGCATTCATGTTTGTGGCAGCAGTGGTCCGAGTCCTTGTGCCCTGCTCCATCAGCTGTTCCACCTATAGAGAAATAAAATAAAAATCAAATAATCTATTGTGATAAAGTGATTTTCAAAGCAGACTTAGTTTTTTACTTATCTTTGCAAAATATTGGTTAAAGTATAATAACTACACCTGTAACAGCTTTAATAAAGCATGAACAAAGATCATAATGGACAGATGCTTACTTTTTTATCTTCTGTTTTATAAAAAATTATTAAAATTTTATGGAAAACAAAAAACAAAATAGACAAAAAACAAAAGAAAGCACAATCCTGACAATTATAGACAAATAGTTAAAACATAACTCCTAAACCTAAACCTTTTCTTTATTTAAGCCTTATTTTCAAATTCAACTAGTTAAGGAGTAGTAAGCACTTTGAATTACTTTGTGTACGAATTGTGCTATACAAATAAAATTGCCTTGCCTTGCCTTGCCTAGTGGTACTACATAATGTGCCTACCTGTTGTGCAGTCTCACAGGGAACAGTGCGAAGGCCCTCCACATAGAAGCCTCTGCTCTGCTCCTCCCTGACTCTGAGTCCTCCTGCAGCACGAGAGCCGCGGAACAGCAGATCAATCACCTGCACGATTAAAAGGAAAAAAGCAGATAAATGAGCAGTAAATGTCTATTATCAGTTCAGATCAAATAAATGAGGCTTTACGCACCTGTTCATTATAGATCTCCAACATACTGAAAAACACCTGTGAAGAGCTCCATCACTGTAAGAACCGCTTGCAGAAACTGAATTATGGATAAAATGTAAAATTGTAACTTTTACCTGACAACGCCTTGAGTCCTGGTTTTCCCTGATGGATTCAAAAAGTCGCTCACAAAGTCTTGGGAACCAAGCCTTTGTTGGCCCCATAGCCCATCATGGAGTAACTCTTCCCTGAACCAGTCTGCCCGTAGGCCAAAAGAGTGGCATTATAGCCCTTTAACACAACACAGTCTATCAATCAGTCTTTACTTATGGATCCCTTTGCAACACTCAAGGTGAGTGCTTTCCAGTCAAATCAAAATAACGTATTTGTTAAGTCTAGGTTTTTACCTGTAGTGAGTTTTCCAGAATACCTTCTCCCAGGTCATGAAATACACTATCCTGCAGACATAGAAATGGTAATTCAGTATGTCAGATGTGACTGATATGATATTACCATACCTGGTCAGCATAGCGCCCCCCTGTGTCTTCTGGCAGGTACTTCCCTGTGTTGTCTTGGATAAAGCCACTGTGGGACCAGTAAGTGTTATCAAAACAAAAAGAGCGTCGGTTCTGAGGTTCACGTGGGTCCTGGATGGTGATGGAGCACGGTACCATGGAGATGATGCAGCGACTTCCAGCATCTCTTTCCCTCTGAGCAAAAAGATGCTATTACACTCACTAGGCACCTATATGGAAATTATAATGCAATGGTACAGCTGCCCTGGGGCTGACTGATGGAGATTTGGCTAAAATACTGTACAAAAAGTGAGTCATACTCATTTACATTTATTTGAGTAACTTTCTGAAGAAATAGTACTTCTAAGAATAGTTATTGGACACCATATCTTTACTTCTACTTGGGGAATATTTTGTTTGAAGTAGCAGTGCTCTTACTTGGGAAAAAGTTGTGTTTCCTCTTCTCACTGTGAGTAAGTATACAAGTAAGAATAAGCGATAAAAGCTTATGTTGATATATTGTTATTAGTAGTAGTATTTATTTGAACATTTGTGTTTCTTACATCACTCCCAGATATCAGATATGACACCAGATTTGTTGCATTTGTGTTGAAATATGATTGTAATCCCCAAAACATTTTCCTCTTACTTGAGTAATTTCTTAAGTAATCACTTCTATTTGAGTAACATTATTTTGAAGTAATGTTATTCTTACTTGAGTCAAATTTTTGGCTACTCTACTCACCTTTACATGATGAAGCACCAGCAGCACTATGTAACTGTTCTGTTGGAGGGCCACCTGCTTGTCTCCATGGAGATGTTATAGCTGTGCCTATAATGTTCTATAGTATACTCATCAATCTCCATCGAGACAAGAAGGTAATGTCACCAGCCAATTTAGAGGTCACATCAGTGGAAAGACTATCCCACTGACACTCACAGTAAACATACAGGGCATACCACCTGTAACTGGATATATGCACTATATTAGTGAGCTTAATGCCATACATTGGAACATTAAAGTCAAAGTAATAATGCCATACAGTGGAACGTTCAAGTCAGAACATCTCTACAAGCTGGTGGTGCATTGTCAACCAGAAAAGTTACACAGTGCATCTCTACTCTACTACTGTGACACTGAAAAATACATAAGGTACAAAGCAGTGATACAAAAAAACTTTCCAATGTCAAATGAGCATTACCTTGTTGAAAGGCCGGACCCTGACTGCTACCCTGACACAGTCCTTTTGCATGTCCGTATGTTTTGGTCTCATCATAGAGCGGCGGTCCAGAGCAGACAGACTGATCAGCCTCTCCACTCCACTGAGCACAAGCAACCAGTGTCCGGTTACAGACAAAACACAGCCACTGTCACTGCACACAGGAAAAGTATACCACTAGAGGATAATGACTTTCACTTTAAGACCTTACTGAGCTGATACTAATTATAAAACTCTTGACGAAATAAGGAGCTAAAAACATCTCTGCTGTAGATGATTTGTACCCTCATTTGGTTTGACCTGTAGAATACTCCTTTTTCAGACAGGGCCTAAGTCAGACCTGTACAATCAAAAACTGCACACAAGATATTTGGTTTTGGCGCTTTACCATATTTATCAAAGCAGTCATCAAAATACAATTATACATACATTCATCAAAAATAGCCTATGTGCGTGATATTGCCAAGCATCTAAGCATGTTCCAGATAAACACATTCAAATGCAAATGCAGTCATTCTTTCACATTTACAGTCCAATTAATAAGTGTACAAGTATGCATGTTACAGGGAATTACAAATTTAAGACTATGGCATAGGCAGATAAATGCTTTTGAAACACTTGAAACTTCCAAACAAACATAATTGTTTAAAGATTTATTTATTAACTTTATTTGGAACATAGCAAAATACTATATACATTTTATTTGTAGGAAATGTGTTTTTTTTTCATTGGATTGGTGGCTTTTTTTCTATAGTAGAAAAACAGCATTCATCAAAATAAAAACAAATAAAATTAGAATGTATATAAAACCTCTTTATCAGAGGTAAATTTTCTTCTCTGATTTAAGTAAAGGTACAACCTTAGATCACATTTCCCTTTTGCCATTTCGAGCCCAGAGAAGCAGTTTCCAATATTTGCATATTGACTAGCACAAAATGGCTAATGCACACTAATCTAGTGAAATAAAGTTTAAAGGGGTGGGACATGTAAACTCCAAAAATAGTCCTCTTTTACAGAAAGTGAACTGTCCCCAAAATATGTTCATGCCTTAGCATTATTTTATCCATAAGCAAAGAAATGTATATTTACACAAATATTCTGCTTCAATTCCAGCACTGAGGCAAATGAAAAACAGTCTATGGGTGACAGGGCCTGGCCAGGCTTCATCTCTGGGCTACCTGAGGTTTACGGTTCAAAGACGCCCAGCCTCCTATAGCTTCTTCCTCCGCGTTACAGGTTTGGTTAAAACTGTGTCCATAATACGCTTGCGCCGAAGGTTCATAGTTGAAGTTGGGCCTTCCGCTTCTTTTGTCCTTTTCTGGGCGCGAGGAACCAGATCAGCTGGACTGGGCAGAGGAGATAGTAGGTCCACTTCTGCTATCAAGGCTGGCTCCAACAGTGCTTTAGATCTAAAATTTAAAATAAATATATATCTGTACCAACAGACAAACTTTAAAAACACCTGAAAGTGGGAAATCTTACTTTGCTGTTCTTTTGCTAGTTTTTCTTGTATTTGACACTTTAGCCTCTTCCACTTCTACAGCCATTTCATCCTGTTGAAAATGAAAAAAAAAATTGCATTTCAAATTTATTTGTTTTCAGTATAATAATTTCACATTTACTCACCTCTGGGGGAACAGCATCCACAGTGGACACGTTCCTCCTGCTTCGAGTGACAGGTGCAATCTGACTGGGAGACTCCGCGGCCTTGGCTAAAATACACACAAACCTCTTAGCCCCAAAATAATCACATTGTTTGAAATTTTGTTAAATTCTCATTGCCCACCTCTTGTTCTTCGTCGAGATGGGGAATAAATGAAAGAGCTCTCCCCTGGACCAGACTTATCATCTGGATCAAAAACCACACTGTTCTCAAATGGGGGCTCAGGGTCCACCACAGACTTAGTGAGCCTCTTACTGGTTCTTGTTGGCGACTTTGTAACTGTTGACACAAACAAATGTATTAAATGTATTAGATGTCAACTTAATTTTGTTTTTGTTCCAACATTTGGCGCTGCACCTACACACCTTCCTGCTTTTGTTCTTCATCCTGAAGCCTCTTGATAAGCACATCTGCTACAGGGGTCTCTGAGGGCACTTCCAAAGGATGGTCTAATAAAGGCTGTTCCTCCTCAGGATGATCCCACAGCTTCTTTTTAGTCTTGCGAAGAGCATCTGCTTCCTGCTTTGGTTCAGGCTCGGACTGGTCTTGACCTTTCACTCCTCTTCTTTTCACACTCTGAGGAAGCAAAACAGGGACCAGTTTTACCTGGATGCATGGTTGTGAAAAGTTGATGAAATACCCATTGAATTAATCCTCAGAAGACAATTTGACATGAGATGAATAAAATATATGAAACTAACACCTCTAAGAGACACTCACCTGTGGGTAAACACTCGGAGTGATGCGATTCGACTGTCGAGTGGTTCGGCCCAAATTCGGAGTCTGGTGTTTCTTATCATTCTCTTCTACTGCTGTAGACAGCAGTGATGCAGCTTTTGTTTTTCTGGAGCTCCGTTTTGCAGGAGTTGTACTGACTAGCTCTTGTTCTTCCACCTCTTCTTTGAGTACTTCTAAAAGCTGTGGGGCATCTTCACTCAAGCTCACAGTGATACGACTGGACCTGCGAGGTGTAGTAGACTGTGCCGCTTTCCTTTTGGTGGGGGTCTTGCCCCTGGCAGAAGACTTAGCAACAGCATGTGTTTCAGCCATCTCTTGTTTCACCTTGGCCTCAGGGCTGGCTTCATCCTCTTCACTGTGGTGCTGTTTGCTGGTTCTTGAGGGGTTTCTCTGTGAACCCCATTTTCTGCCTGGAGACAAAGTCCTTGTAGTGCTAGACACAGTGTTATCACTCACGTTTTCCACTTTATCCTCCTTTTGTTCTGTTGGAGCTTCGGGCTCCGGCTCGGGCTCAGGTTGAGTTCTACGAGTACTTCTTCGAGGAGTGCCAATTATACTTTCTTTAACTTGTTTGCTTCTTTTAGTTGAGCGACCAGGAGAGGTGGCGACTGCAACAGTTGGTTCTTGGTCTTGTTCCATCTTCACTTCCTGTTCAGGCTTTCCCTCCTCGTCATGTACCTCTTCGGGCACAGGGGAAATGAAGGTGACAGCTCTAGCTCTGGTGGTCCTTCGAGTTGGGGTATACGAAGCCTCATTCCTTCTGCCAGAGCCTGGAATCTGTAACACTGGCTGTTCCTCTGGGGCATCATCAATCTCCTGCACAGATGCAACCACTGGCTCCTGTTTCTTTGATCTGCCCTTTTTTGTTTTTTCCTTGTCTCTTGATTCGGTTTCCTCCTCTTTCTCCTCGACTGACACTGTGGCCTGATCAGTCTCTGAAGCCTGTACATCCTCGCTGTTGGATGAGCATGGATCTTCTCTGAGCGGTTCGGGTGGTTCATCTGAAGGTTTTGTTTTGTCTTCAACCAATTCACCTTCTACTGGTGCATCTGACATCTCTTTATCTTTACACACCTCTAAGAGCTCATCTGTTGACTCTGGTACCTCAGCCTTCTGATCTTCAAGCTGCATTTCTGTATCTTCTTGCTCATCTTCAGCTTCTACTTGAGTCTGTGGTTCAGTATTTTCTATCTGCTCATTTTCTAGTGTATTTTCAGGTATTACCTCTTGAGCAGTATTTTCAGTCTGCTCATTTTCTAGTATATTTTCAGGAATTACTTCTTGCACAATATTTTCCATCTTCTCATTTTCCAATATGTTTTCTGGAATTGCCACTTGTTTGGTATTTTCTGCCTGCTCATTTTCTAGTATGTTTTCTGGAACTGCCTCTTGTTCAGTATTTTCTGTCTGCTCATTTTCTAGTATGTTTTCTGGAACTGCCTCTTGTTCAGTATTTTCTGTCTGCTCATTTTCTAGTATGTTTTCTGGAACTGCCTCTTGTTCAGTATTTTCTGTCTGCT